ACGCACTGTCAAGTGCAAACTTACAGTACACGCCCTAGCACCGAATAAGCAGAATTCAACATTTAATCATGTTATGGTGAACTTTGGACTTAGAAACAACCGCAGACTGCGCTTATAATTGGTATCATTGGAACTTCAATGTGACAGTTAGTGTCATCTCGTAACAAAAGCGGCCGTAGTGGTCCCAAGTACAAGAATTAGTGTCCCTAAACGGAAAACAATGAGCGGACGAAATAAAATGGATTTTTTGTGAAAAGTGGATCAGAGCCTGCATGCCCAGTAAGCTGTTCATCTCCAAATAAATCAGGCACTGCTGTATACTAGCGTAAAAGAATAATTGAGAGAAAACAGAATTCCAGCTAACACAACATGTCCAACACAACAAATTGGAAATGCATGCAGGCTCTGTTTGATTGAGCCGTTCATTCAGACGTACTGGAAAGTGGACAAGTTTACTGTCCAACGCACCCTGAGCACCTGCATTAAGCAAGATTTCACATTTAAAATGTGTAAAAGGTTAAATTGAATTCAGAAAATCTGCAAGACGTGTTTCTACGGCGTATCATGGAACCTTCAATGTGACACAGTAGTTGCCATTCATGAAAAAGCGACGTATGCTCCAAGTAATAAATGGCTAATTGCCCTAAACGACGAAAAAAATGGAGCGTAACTAAATAAAAAATGAATATTTGACAGGGGATCTGGCTATAAAGCGCCGCATATCAAATAAGACGCCAAAGCATAATTTAAAAAGCAGCGCAACCAATCTATCCTTAAAGGTGGATTATACAGTACTGAACTACCCAAGTTGGAAAAGACAAATAGAAAAAAGCTGAAAGACCACTAACATTATATACAACAGACCAATAATGTCTGTGCCTGAACGCAATCCTTCAAGGAATTTAGAATACAATTAAATTTTATATCTTAATCTGAACATACGACCGACCAAGACTTTGTAAAATAATTTACGTAATTCTATCGCCTTGCTTAAGGAAGTTCCAGTAATAAATAAATTTGCGTTCATAGAATCACTCCACACGACAGCAGGACCAGGCAACTCTAATTAACTTAGAAATATAAATACCCAATATGATGTTGCATGAAGTACAACAACCTTTTTTTTTTTTAAAAAAAAAAAACAATTATCAAAGATTTTAGTTACTATTTATTGTTTATGCATAGAAATGTTTAAATTTGAAAAAATATTAAGAGTTGTTTTATTCATTTTACGTTCACTAGATATTATTTTAGATTTCACTTGATTATTCAATGTTAAGGTATTAAGGTCTAGGTAGCGGTAAGTGCTATTTAAATGCAACGTATAGGCTTGTCCGTTGTGAGAATAGTAGAGAGACTTAACATAAAATACCGTCTAGTAACAATATCAAAGTAAATAAAGTAAACTAACATGTCATTCGGCATTATGATTGTAAAAATCAGGAAACTAGGAGATCTACTTGAGCAGCAAATTAAAACGCTGGCAAGAATTGATCATTACAAACTCAGCTTGTGGATGGGTCTGTTCATGAGGGACCATATATCACGTCTCATTGTACCGACTAAGTAGTATTCAATCCTGACTATAAAAGTTTTGGTATCGATTGATCCGAGGACCAAGTCGATCGGTACTAGCTTCAATAGGAATAGGAGTGTTTGGACTGTGAATTCGGAGAACCCGTGTTGATTCCCGGCACGAGCAGGTCACTTCGTTGTGATGATCATAAGATTACATAGTATTCTACGGATTATCGCACTGTACCACTGGACTCTGCTATTGCACAAATAAGTTTCAGTTTCTTGCGAAATGAGGCAACTAAACTGAAAACACTGTTTGACCGCCTCGTCAAAGGAACGATTCGGTGGAGCTCGAACTGTGCTCTGCGTTAATTCAATATGGTTTACTGCCGTGCATCCGGATTGAAAACTACCGACCCACATTTACCATCCCGAAAGACCTATAAAATATAAACCACTGTATACTGCTGTTGCAGACTCGGTTTGATTGAGCCTGTTCATGGACGGTACTGAAAAGTGCATGTTACTCTATGGCCCCTAGCACATAGTATTACTATCAAGTACCCGCCAGGGAAAAGATTAGCTACATTTTCGTCCAATTGAAAGCTCATTTCTTAATTCCTCCCATGAAATAAACAAATTTAAAACAAATGCTCAAAATCATTAACAGGAGCTGTCAGTAGGACAGCGTGCTCGACTCTATTCTCAGTGCTTGATAGTAAAAAAAAATGGACATAATATGTAAAAAAGCTTGATACAGTGACCTTCTCTGTACAAAGGTTGAGATTATGAATGGTGAACAAGTGTGCAAGATCTCAAAGCGAAATATGTCGATGGAATTTTTGAAATTATCTGAGCGGTGGTAATGTAAAATTCAAAGAATTGGAAAAGGGGCATAATTCTGTCAAAATGACTTGATAGACCTTATCCATGTTGAAAGTGGAGGGCATGATGGTAAACAATGTGCGCAAGTTTCAAGCCATATGTCAATGGACTGTGTTTGGTACGCAAACTTTGACGCCGACGCTGGGGCGAACGAGGATAGTTGTCCTTAATCGTTCGAATAGTTGAGCTAAAAAGAAACTGACCTCATAATATAAATTTTCAATTCAATATATATATTTATATTTTATATAATATTTTATTTATAATTCAGATACAGTTCTAGCAGAAAGTCTTTACTGTAAACTGAATAACCTACCCATTTTAAATGTTCTAGCAAATTACATTTTATATTTTAATGTATATATTATATCCGTCATCAATAATGACATAGAGGATATTTGTTTAGTTCAGTGTAAGATCAGAATATATTTCACCGAGTGAGCACCAAAAGGTATATTTACACGAGTGGCGCAGCCTCGAGTTGGAAATATGAACTTTTGGTGTTCACGAGGTGAAATATATTTCGATCTTACATTAAACTAAAACAAATTTTCTTTTTATTATATGCAAAGAAACGTTTAAAAAGACATTTTAACTTAGTACTAAATGAAAAGGGTGCCAAATAATAATACAACGTGACGTCATTTACGACGTTACGTCATTAAGTTGGTTTCCAGTAATGTGAACGCTTGTATTTCACTGAAACAACGTACTGGGCTCAAATATTCAAAACAGTGAAATTATCAAATCGATAATTTCACTGTTTAAAACAGTGAAATTACCAGTTTTTATTTCACTGATATATTTCTATAAACCACCGAAAAGCATGTAATAAAAAACTCCAAATATGGTTCAATTGTAGATTATCATATGTTATGCCAATGCCTTAAAACAAGAGCTGCATGTCAGACAGCACGCTCGAATATTTAAAATCAACAGCCTGCATTATAAAGAAATTCTCTTATTCATAAATTAGTATAACTCTTTGAAATAAAAACATGTAAGAGGAAGTAACCTACATTAATGATGGTTGTGGAGATAAATGTTGTCTGAGAAATTCTGTAAGTTAATAAATAGATTATTATTATTATTGCCTAATAAATGCTTAGCTTATGGGTCTTGAACAGTGACCCTACAAGTATAATCAAAATCACATTTTGAAGACTAACAATGAATGTTTATGGCTAAGGAGAAAAAAAAAAGCTTGCAAACAAATCCTTAACAAAAGGCAAGCAAATACAGGTCAGTAAATAGTTCCTTATTGTGTGCATAAAACAAATAAAAGAGATATTTCAACATTTAGACACACATGCAGGGCATTTTCTATGAAAGATAAGATGTCTCTCATCACTAACCAATTAAATAAAATTGTTAACCTTTTTATATTACTATTATTATAAAACAAAAAGTATTTAATTTAAAGTTGACTTCCCGTTCGTAATACCCCACCCACTTTGTATATAAATTTAGATAAATAAAAAACATTTATGGCATAGTCCGCTTATTCTAACTTATTCTAAATATGTGTAGATATAGATTTAAAGCTGTATTAAACGAAATCATGAATGTTATTCAGTTTAAACAAGAATAACTAATAAGTTACACATATTCAAAAAAGGACACCCAGTTTGCAACATATTTTTTTCTTCTTTCGTTTAAATAAGGCGATGAAAAAAACTAGAAAAAAATCAATAAAAGTCAAAATTTATAGCATAAGTAAGCTGAAAAATAAGAAATTTATGAAAATCTTTCAATTGATTTACAAAACTGAAAAAGAAATAAGTCAACGTAAATAATACTAGAAAATTTAGGGATTTGGCGGCCATCTTTGACGCCATCTTGGATATCTTAGCTTCGCATCGGGTTGGGCAAATGAATATCCATTCCAGAAACTACAAGATCCAGACGAACATTTTGGTATATGAAACTTGCTGTTGGCTGACATAGACCAGTTACCCCTTTAAATAGGCTAGTAAAATGGGCTGATTTGCAGCACTATATATCCTCTATGCTTCTGCTAATATACACTTTATTTTAAATATTAATCTTTTTCTTTCAACAAAGAGTATATAAACGCATATTTTAGGCTTTCTGTATTTATTTTCATAATATTATACTTTACTTAAAAGCGACACCACTGAGGTTTGTTTTTAATAAAGGAACTGAAACTATATTTTCGACCATTCTTACCACAGGAATCATTTTTATTTTGCAAATGTCGAGCTAAGAATCGCTCAAAATTCAAGATTCAATTTAAGTCCTAGCAAATTTCTTGTTATTTTTTTATATTTTAACATTTTTATTTATACTTGATTAATGTCATTTGAAATAGTATGGCTTTCCTCGTCATTTTTAAGTCAGTTGAGCTCCTTGAAAATAATTACATTTGCTCGGTTGAACTATAATCTGTTTTGATAAATTATATTTTCTGTAACATAGCAGTCGGTTCCATTCGCCTTACCTTAATACAAGATCTTACTTTAAAGTCATTTCTTGATTATAACTGCAATTTTTTTCGAATGTTTCTTACCATCATGATGAATTAAGAAAATTATGAAATTAATTTTGCTAGTCATGAACAAACAGACACCACCATTTCATTCAGAAAGGTGCCACAGACAAACCATAACTGAAATAACGCACGTGACTAAAATAGTCGTGGCCGTAAAGTAAATCTTGTCAAATAGTTTCACTGCATCAGACCACAATATTGATTCTTTTTCAACTATTCCTTCATCATAAATGTCAGAATTTTCAAGACCTTTAGCCGTTGAGATTGCATCGGAATCGTCATCGGTTGTGTTTATTTTTGGATGGACTTTTGTAGTAGTGGTCGAACCTATATTTTGGCAAAACCTCACCACTTTCTGCAATGAAATTGGTACCGGTGTCATTTTATTTTCCCAGGTTGCCATTCGCACCATAAACACACTCCAGAGTACACTTGCTGTATTGAGGACGTTTAAAGATAGCATTATGTAGGAGGAAAACGCTATATTATTTGCGACATGAGGCATTTCATCTACCATTGCAGACGTTATGAATACAAATGAAAGATATAAAGTGATCGAAAATGAGAGACGCTCGCCAGAATTGACAGGAACAAAATTAGCCGCAAGGTTTAGAACTGTTAACAGAAGAATCGGCAGAAAAACATTTATGATTTCAAATATGGGTCTTCGTTTTAGTGTTATTATAAACTCAAGACTGCCTAAGGTGTACACAATGTTCTCGGCTGAATATGTGCCTTTCTTAAAATCAGTCTTTGTGTGACGCCATGCATCATTTTGTTGAAGTAACCCGAAGGCAAAATCAGATGTGTGAGAATTCAACTCCATTTCTGTGACATCATTCAACGCGGAAAAGAAATAAAAAGTGCATGTATGCGAGTCAAATGGATACAAGCTAGTGTCAATATCACATTTAGTTACGTAGTATCCTGTAGTGACAAGGAGAACCATTCCATTAGGTAAAACGAAAACTGGGGCAAAACCAGGATTTATTATTTGGCCTGACTTCTCTTTCATTGCTCCGTTTGATTGTGATAAAGGTGGTATCCAAAGTTTTTCGTAAGGTACGGATAACTTTGTGATACCTCCATACTCAAAGGGATTCCACATCAAAAACTCGTCGATCCATGAAAGCTGAATATACATGATGGTAAGTAGTTCACCCTTTGTTAAGTCCAGGCTTTCAATAGTCATAATTCCAGGAGTGATGTTGACCTGTGTATAAAAGGAATTTCTTTAGATTTAAATAATAAAGCGATTCATGTAAATATTTTATCTATTATTGTAATTAAACTTTATTCTCAAAAATTATTTATGTGTAATATGGGATTTGCCTTATAGTTAATTATCAATCCTAGATTTTCTGAATAAGCGCATTGTTTTTGTCCGACTTATTTTTGAGCAGACGGTTACTTAAAAAAATAAAAGAATAAAAGATTTGAATACCAAAATAAATAAATAAATGAAATAATTTTAAATAGATTAATACAAAACAATAGCACGGCATAAGGTGTTAACGCTCGTCTGTTTAGGGCAACAACTATAATAATCAGTTTTGAAATGTATTCTAAGGTGGAAATGAAGACATCTAAAAAAATATAGCTATCAGATTATGTACCTTGTCTAACATCTGCACAACTGTCATGATTAGCAAGTTATCCAAGTTGTTGATTGATAACTTTAAGATATATTTGAATGTTGAGCTTCGTTGTACATTAAAGTTTTTACACAACGACAACAACTATATGCCGCAGTGATCTGTAAATGTGACTTTTTCTTCGAAACAGGCGAACAAATGAAACCTGAGATAACCACAATATATAGTACCAAAAAAGACGATGCACAGGCGGCTTGAATGGCTGAATACTGATGGCAGAGGCCAATCACAATAGCTTTAAGCAGGTTAAAAAAATGGAAAAAAAACAATAAGGATAAACCATAATAATCAACTATTACCTCCATAACTTTATCCTGGTTATAGATTGGGCGGATAAGTCTGCTGTATCTTGTTTCGTTAAAAAGATCCTCGATTAGTCTAGTCATATCACTATGCAAGTAGCAGGTCGCTGGATGCAAAGCAGACATGAACATGAAAAATACAAATATTCCACTTTGATATCTCTCCATTTTCAACACCCAAGATGCACACGCAAATGGCGAGTTGCTTTTGGATATTGTTTAGAGACAGTAGATCACCATCGTTTTAAAGTACTGTCAGCAATATTGATAAATCTAATGAGTCTTTTGTGTTTCATATTCAATACTTTATGAAATCAAGTGTATTATCATTAATTCGCATGCCGATGGCTGTCCTAAAGAAAACTTTGTCTTTCCAGTCCATTAACTATCCAACTTTATGATAATATTTAACCATAGAGAAAAATAATGTCTAAAAGCATTTTTTTCAATGGAAAGAATGTACTTTTCACATCGCTGCACAAGAAAATCCGAGGCATACAAGAACTACTAAAATGGCAGCACGATAAATTTTACTTGTCTAAAAAAGACAGATACAGATTCAAACATCTACTAGTAAATTTTAATTGTTCGGAAGGTTGTGGAATCGTCAAAGACACCTTTATCATTTTTCTAAAATTGTCAACATCTTTGAAATAAAAGTTTATAAAAGATTCGAACATAAATTACTTCAGTTAATAATGTAAAAAATGAGACAGGAATATTCATTCTAAATTTCACTTTTGGTTTTGTCCAATCATTTTTCACTTAGTACACATATTAAATAAAATGGCAAATACTTTACATTGTAAGATGACGACATTATTTCTCATAGAAAATAGAGTTTAAATGTTATGAATTTGACAATTTTAGAACAGCGGAAAAGTGAACTCATGTTTGACAAGCACTTCTACTTTCCAAATGTTTAACATACAATTATTTGCTCATAAAAATACGATTCCTTATTACCAGTTTTACTTGTTGATGAATAAAAGTACATTTATTTCTTTGTGGTTTATCATCTTCTATGACTAAATGTCTTATTTTACATGGCAAAAGAATGAATATAGTTTATGACAGGCAATGTAAATTGTGAAATAGTAAACCAGATTTGAACACAAACTAACCATTACTTATTTAATTCTTACAACTGTAACATGACAAAAACAAGCCGGGATATTTGTGAAAATCAATTTATTAACGGCTGGACGTAATATTATGTACATATGTATGTTTGTATGCATCTGTTTTAAATGAACGCGGTTACTCTTAAAAGCCCTCAAAAATATAACTGACATTCATTCTTTCCTGCATGAAATAAGTTTATTTTGTAACACAGTTATCATAAGTATTTTAGACTGACAAAATCACGACAAATAAGATTTAGGAGTGTTACTAAATTTATAAAGCCTTAAACAGAAGAAACTAAACAAAATCGGGTTGCACGAAGTTTTCGTCTTTATGTACCTTAAACGATTATTGTTTCTTGCTGATCACAAATAATGAAAATGTAGTACATGTATATGCGCACTCGTATATGGTGGCCATGAAGTAATAATTTATATTGAAGGATCAGGCATCCAATGCACCCAAACGGGCTGTCTGTTATAAATGTCCCGTTGACACCAAGGTAAAAGATGTTTTTCTCCTAAGAACTCGTAATAATATCAAAAAATAATGTAGGGCACCGATAATTGGTTTAAAATAATGATACAACTTTTACTGCCTAGTTTAGACCACAATCTTAGAAAACGTTGTACTGCCTGGTTTAGACCTGAAAACGGGATAGTTTTTTAATCTTAAATGCTCCCTTAATTTGGACACCCATATAAAATCTATCCCGTTTTCAGTGTAAAACCAGACAATAAAGCTAACCATATTGGTTGGTTCCAGGAACGGATTCTAGTGTGCTTAAATAAGCTCGTAGCTTCCAACGCAATCGAACATACATGTATATAAATTCGTATTAACTGAATGATATAAACACTTAAACAGTGTAAATGATATCATCGCAGTATCGGTTACTCTTTTTATGATTTGTTACTTTATATAAATGCATTGTATGTCCTGAATAGTCCATCACATCTGTTGTTTTTTGTTTGTATTTTAATCTATCCATTTAAAGAGTCAACCATACAGTACACATACAGTATTTGCCAATATGAAATATGATTCACTATGCGTTTATTTCTCAATTAGCATTTGCTTTCTGTTCATATATGAAACATGTTACTCTATCACTAAATATTTATTAACCTACAGATTTTGTTTGCTAATCTGGCATCCTTATTCATTTATTATACTTACGTCACGTACTCACCTGCGTCACGTACTCACCTGCGTACTTGAAAATTTACTCAATGTTTTGGATTTCGCAATTGTTTGTCTCTTTCTTTTATTTGATTCCCCTCCCCCTTTTTGAGGCCTCAATGCAAATAGTGAGAAAAAATGCCCAATTTAGACCCCATCTATTAGGGATACATTGGTATTACTTTTACTGAGATTTACATTAAAAATGATCACTTTTTCGGCGCCATCCCCTGACAAATAGATGCATCAAGAGGGTACCAGAGGAGGGACGTGTCCCCTACTGCTTTGTGATTTTATTTGCCAAATTTGTCATCCGCACCATAAACACACGCCAGAGTACGCTTGCTGTATTGAGGACGTTTAAAGAAAGTATAATGTAGGAGGAAAACGCTATATTCTTTGCGACGCAAACGTTATGATTACATATGAAAGATATAAAGTGATCGAAGATGAGAGACGCTCTCCTGAATTGACAGGAAAAATGTTAGCCGCAAGGTTAGAACTGTTAACAGAAGAATCGGCGGAAAAAACATTTATGATTTCAAAATAGGTCTTCGTTTTAGTGTTATTGTAAACCTGAGACTGCCTACAGTGTATGCAATGTTCTCGGCTGAATATGTGACTTTTTTAAAATCAGTCTTTGTGTGACGCCAAGCATCATTTTGAAGTACCCCGAAGGCAAAAATCAGAAACTCGTCGATCCAGGACAGCTGAATATACATGATGGTAAGTAGTTAACCCTTTGTTTAATCGAGACTTTCAATAGTCATAATTCCAGGAGTAATGTTGACCTGTGTATAAAAGGAATTTATTCAGGTTTAAATAATTAAGCCATTCATGTAGATATTATCTTTTATCAAAATTTAACTTTATTCTACAATAAGTTAATTAATGTGTGATAAGGGATTTGCCTAATTATTAATTATCAATACTTGATTTTCATAATTAACATATTGCTTTTGTCTGGCTTTGATTATTGAGCAGATATTTACTTAGAAAAATGAAGGAATAAAGGATTTGAATACCAAGAATAAAAAATAAATGAAATAATTTAAAATAAATAAATAAATACAAAAAGAGCACGGCATGAGGTGTTGACTCTAGTTTGTTTAGGACAACGACTATAATAATTGGTTTTAACATATATTCTAAGATTGAAAGGATGATATCTAAAATATGTAGCTATTTGATTATGTCCCTTGTTTAACAACTGCACATGTATGTTATCCAAGATATTGATAACTTTTGAAACATTTGAATGATGAGCTACTTTGAACATTAAAGTTATTGCACGACGACAACAACTATATGCCGCAATGATCATAAAAGTATGACTTTTTTCTCGAAACAGACAAACTAACATAATATAGTGACAATATAGAACCAAGTTCGAGGATGCACAGTCGGCTTGAGTGAATGAATACTAATGACAAAAGCCAATCCTAATCGCTCCAATCAGATTAAGGGTAAAGCAAAAACAAACGGTTTTTGAAGTATGACAAACCATATTAATCAACTTTGACCTCCTTGACTTTGTCCTGGTTAAAATAAGGTATAAAATCAAAATTATCAACTGATACCTCCATGACTTTATCCTGGTTATAATTTGGGTGGATAATTCTGCTGTATCTTTTGTCGTTGAAAAGATCTTCAATAAGTCTAGTCATGTCTCTATGCAAGTAGCAGATCGCTGGATGCAAGGCAGACATGAACATATAAAATGCAACTATTCAACTTTGATATGTCTCCATTTTCTATCATTTACGATGTACACGCAAATGGTGAGTAATTTTTAAATATTGTTTAGAGGCAGTAAATTGCTATCATTTAAATATAGTCTCAGCAATATTGATAATTCTAATGGATCTTTTGTGTTTAAAATTCAATACTATATGGAATCAAGATTAGAATCATTAATTTGCTTGCCG